AATGGCACAAATATTTGCGATGGACGATTCGTGAATACTTTATAAGTCACAACAACTAACAATTTTCACACTGAATAAACGATTGAGAAATTACAAAACAAACGAATAACAATCAATCTTTCAGAATCCTATTCATCAGATATATCGAAACACTGATTCAATTCGAATCTAATGATGAACATTTCAATTCCCTACTGAAAAATATTTTTATAATTCGTTCATATTAGTAAGCCGCACTCATAAACCATTTACACATACAAATTTGCGGTCTTTCCATCTTTTCTCACCTCTACAGATAAAAGAATGAACACCAACAGTCATTGCAATATAACTAATGAAAGAATCAAATGAAACCTATATGACGAGATGATGAAACCAAAAGAATATAATTTTCCATCAAAGATATAGTAATAACCTTGAGTTGTTCAAGGAAAGCACTCGCTTCAGCTGCTTCAGCTTCAGATGGTTGTGCCTCTGGGTTGGTACGAGTCTCGTTGATCGCTTTCTCTTCAGCCTCGACGAGTGTTTTGAGCATCTTTTGGAAGTTCTCTGCGGCTCGCCTCTCCTCTTCAGTCATTGGTGTTTGCGGTGTGCTACTGCTACTACTCATCGCTGGATTATTCGTTGTTGCTTCAGCATTCTTTGAAAACAATTCGCGATTAGATTGACTTCCAAATGCATAAACATTTTTAAAATAACTCAAAACAATCTAAATTTAACTTAAAATTGAAATTTAACTTAAAATCCAATAAATTTAAAATTTAACTTAAATCCAATAAAATTTTAACTTAAAATAGAACAATCCAATGAAATTTACGATCTCAAACAATACGATTCTAAAATGTTGAACCTGTTGATTGGCTGCAGTATTTAAGGTAAGATTCTTCAACAACGAATCGAAATGGCTGGCCGCCTTCTGTGCTGCCTCTTGATCCATATTCTCCATGATCGAGTCGATTTCATCGTCTGTATTCTTCAATCGGCCAAAATCATCCAGTGCACTGTCGAGAAGTGCCGACAGCTCGCTATCTGCTGCTGTGTCATCCTTTTGCGACGACGACGAAGTCGCGTGTCCAGCTTTCGACGAGGATGGCGGTGAAGACATCTATTATCCTCTTCAAATACCTCTCAAAT